TGATTCTGGTTGATCCGCACGACCTGTGATCTTGGAGTTACATTCAGCGGCTCTCCAGACACCGTTTTACCCCGGTCTAACCGCGGCCGCGAGCGCCTCCCATTGGTCGTTCCACACACTTGACGTGCTGTTTGCACTCTGGACGACTCGCAAATAAAACACTTAGCTTGGAATTGACCCAACTTGTGGACAACAGCCGTGCTCGAAAACATTTTTGCCGCTCTCCCTTCACGGCCGTGTCCCAGCCCCATTGGCGGCACATGCAGGCTGTTATGAAAACCCGCATCGGTAGCAGCAAAGCCAAGTGCGGTCAGAGAAACAGGAAGGGACCCACGTTGTTTCGCCATTGGGGAGTGACCCATGCTTGTTTTCGCCATCAGCCAATCATCTCACGTTTCACCGAACGTTATATCACCGATTGCCGCCGACAAACGGCCGAATTTAGGGCGTTTCCAGTGGCGCTTTTCGACTGATTGCCTGATATAACCGGCGCCATTCCTATCGACTAGAAGGACGTGTCGCCATCGGGTCTGCCATGACAGTGATGGCCCATCATAGACCCGTGGCGGGGGTATAACGGCTCATAACGGACCGGTTTCCTCACCACGGGAGTGTCATGACGGTTACATGACAGAGCCGTTAACCAGCGCCGCGGAGCCGTGCAGCGGTGTCGTGTGGGGACAGAGACAAGACAGCTACGGAAGGCGATTAACTGACAGGATAACAACATGTCAGAGAGGAAAAAAGTCCACTGAAAAATAAGGCTGTGTGTGGATTTATGCTACTTATATGCTTGCTTTCAATCGAACAATAATGCCATGGTTTTTAGAAACATGACAGTTATCTGAGCATGGACTGATATCTGTTATTGATAAAACCGGCTTGATAAAAAGTGATTGTTGTAAAAAAAAAATGCTCTGTTAACATGTCTACCGCTTTTATAGTAAAAATCATTTTTGTTTGACTTTGCTGCATGAATGCTTTGAGGATCGATGACATCGACCTCAGCGTCTCCTTCTAGTCTACCTGTTTTTCAACTAGTTTTCCAACCAAGTCTTGGGTGCATTAAGCTCACTTTGTAAGCTTATTAAAACCTCATTTGGAGAGGTTATTGCGCATAAATTCCATCATGCCCTGAAAAAGAAGGATGACGAATTGTTTTGGCATCCCACCACGTATAGGTAAGTGCTGTTGTTTTTTACTGTTGGCATCTATCGTTTCCCATGTGCTTATCGGAACATTATCCGAAAATCCCCAGCAAATGGCCGGCAGGGCGACACACTCGATCACGGCCGCCATCCCATTTCCTCTCAATAACGACAACCACATCGGGCCGCCGGCCGGATTGACCTTCCCCTCTCCATCGTCTCAGCCTCTTCCCTGAGGGCCTGGACCTACCCGTCCTCCTCTCTTCCCCACCCCTCGAAAACCTCCCTGGGCGGGCGGCCTCCGCAGCGCACCTCGCTGCCGAGGCGCCACATTAGCCACAGAGGAAGGGATCGCTCCAATATGGAATATGGGATATATCCGGCGAGCCGGGGAGGCCGGGCATAAAAGGATTGCCCCGCTGGCCGTCTGGCCGGCCTCCAGAGGACGGGCGTCGACAGAGCCGGCGCGATTACGGCGACAAAGGGTGGTGTGAGGCTGACCCGGACCGCCGGCTGATACCGAGTGGGGGGAGAGGAGAGAGGGAGGAGAGGAGAGAGAGAGGGAGAGGGAGAGAGAGAGAGAGAGAGAGAGAGGGAGAGAGAGAGAGGGAGAGAGAGAGGGAGAGAGAGGGAGGGAGGGCCAGAAGACGCGAGCTGAATAGCGAATGGACTGTGGACGGAGGTGTGATCTGCATTCAGGAAAACGCGGAAAGTGGATGGAGTCTGAAATCTGAATGGTTTGTTTTATGTACAAGAAAATATGTGTGGCAACATAAGATGTGATATGCACACAAGGAAAATGCAGGGCTAGAGTGGAACATCACTGTTATACCGTGTGAATGTAGCCAGGGGCTTTACATAGACAGAAGATCACATGGAAATAAGCCGATATTGCCGCTAATCGTTGTGCAAATGGTTTATTTTCGTCTTGGCTTGCATGTTTCCCTTTTTATTTTCCACTGAACTTACATTTAAAGCACCAATTACACCAATTGATTGCTAACTTTGATCTACAGGCAACTTGTAGCCCTGCAAGTTTCCCGGTTAAGGAGAACCGGCTCCGATTAGCGATTTGTTCGGACCGTTCACCGGAAGATCACCGGCATGCGGCGCCTTTCAGACGATCTATGCACAGCCGACCGTCACCCCAAGTTGGGCGGCAACTTACTGCCCAACTTGGCTCCACGTCACACTTTGGGTGTGGCCAGCGGCGCCTGGGGAGCCAAAGAATGGTGACGGGCTGTCAGTGTTTGGCTGACCGACACCTCGCGGTGACAAGTTGGCCGGTTGTGCCGCGGCCGGCTGACCGCTGACCGACGGCTGACACCCCCCCCCCCCGTCCGGTCGGCGGGCGGGTCGGGTCAGCGGGGACACCAACTTAGCGACGGCTGGGAGTGCATCAATTGAATCAGGCTCTTCAAACTCAACCATTCAATTTTGTTAAATTGGTCCCCGCCTAAAAAGTTATAGAAAGTATCATATTTGAAGTATTCATGATCTTTTCTATTCCATTCATTCTTCAATTCTTCTTGTTTGCGGGGGGGGGGGATACGAAGGGTTCAACTAACCATTCAGCCATGAGACATGGAAGTGATGCTAAAACATTGCATAACAAAACATCACATAACATCTTTTACCTCTAGCATTTAGTTGCCGCAATGCATCTTACGAAAATAAATTTACACTTATACTTCGACGTAAAATGTCATGATTGCCTTATAGGAATGCAATGATATCATAGGAATGGCATATTACCACATATATTACATACTATTTTCAAGGTAAGTACAGGCGGACAGAGGACGTGTGGACTGTGGACATAGGCAATATGCATGCTACACATCAGTTGCGACGCGTAGATAAGAACGAATATGAAATAAATCAATCGAATGTTCCATTCGAACAATGCGTTCATATGACCATCAGCCACTTTCAGAAAAACACCCAAATTTCTTAACTGCGGCGCTTTCAGTACACTGAAAACAATTTAACCCAAGGCCGGCGAGTAAACCGGTGTTTCGCGGGTACCCCTATCCGCAACCATTTTTAACCACCCTCCCAAGAGTACAGTAAGGTCCGATTGCAGTGTAGTCGTCCCTGCTCTCAGCGGACATGTTCGCTGACAGCGGTTATATCCGCTCAGAGCAAGTACGACTACACCGCAATGGGACCTAGCCCTACTCCTGGGAGGGTGGTTAAAAATGGTTGCGGATAGGGGTACCCGTGAAACACTGGTTTACTCGCCGGCCTTGGGTTAAATTGTTTTCAGTGTACCTACAGGATAGGTATTTACCACTTACCAGCGATTAGGGTATGAGTTACCTTTTATTGGAGCACTACATTGTAACTAGCCACGTCCGCGTCTAGTAGGTAGTAATGCTGTTGTACAAGAGGGCCAGTATCGCCCTCCCCTAATGAAATATTGAATCATCAGTCGTAGCGCTGTCTGCTAGAACGGATCATTAAATAGATTCTAGCAGTTTGGAGCATTAATGTGACAGCTACGCTTGGCACTACATTGAGATATATCGAATGGACCTGGAGATTGCCACTCCATTTATTTGATTCGAGCTCATTAACATCGCAGCGAGTTAGACCAATAACACGAGCAAAACAGGACAGGAGCAACACGGGACTGCGAGAACGGGTAAACATACAACTGAGAGTGGGATAAAAGAACGAAGCAGAGCATGGAAAACATGCGCATGCTAAAGCTCACAGCGCTGGAGTAAAGAATACCAGTAGTACGTATAGACGCACGCAAAAGAAAAAATAGTCTCAGAAAAGTGAACCCATATGATTTTTTTTTAATCAATTTATCTGCCTCTCTGTCTTTGTTGTTTTCCCTATTTCCCTCGTTTCGATTCTATCTTGTCCTTCTCATCTGCATAACCAGCGTGGATTCTGATAAGTACGGAGCAAACATAACTGAGCTGAATGGTGGGAATTTCATGGTGCATAAATCATTGAACAGCAGCCAATTTCCAAATGAATATGCATTGTCTGCAGCAAATAAATACCAAAATAGTGGGCCGATAGTTACAGAGGCAGAGTCGTTTTATTATACTAGCGCGAACTAGCGAGACACACATATAGCTTGTCATTTTAATGTATGGATAAATATGTAATTCATATAAAAGCAAATGCCATCTTAAAACCAGCAAATGTCGAAGGCTAGAAGCGGGATACTTGGTAGCCAAAGCTGTAACGGGATAGCTCACCCTGACTGGATTCGGAGGACCCGGCTCGCTCATGATGTGAAGAAACTATTCAAAGCGGTGACATGTCCCGAGCTCGCCCGAGCGCCGCGGCTCAGGCAATTTGCCTCAGACTCTGCTGATATATCGTCCCATATTTTAGAATATTTTGAGTAGGGAGGTTGGAGCTACTGAAGGGAAGTTCAATTAGGCGCCAAATGTCAGTGAAGAGCAATGCGTCAATGCTAGATCGTTTCCGAGTAGGTTAAGTTAAACTAACTTCCATGCCGTGCGCTTTACGTCTTTCTCCTTTCTATTTAATTGAGGGGCAAAATACCAGTGTTTGTAGTTATCCTATTTTATAAACGAAATGGAATGTGTAAAAAACACTTCAAACCCGAAGCCTCATTATCTATTGGTGCACCTGTTTTTGAGGCGGAACAGGGTTAAGTATGAAATATGTAGGCTGGATTACAACTTCGTCGGCCGAAGGTAGTATTAAAATATCGATTTTCTTCAGCTGTGCTTGTTTCGCTCACATTTATAACGCAGCGTGTGGCATAAACAGATTGACCAGTGGCTGCAGGGCAGTGCTCTCGCCATACGGTTACACACGACCGTCATCACCTGACATGACACCATCCGTCATTTCCAGCGTCACGGTGGCATCCTGCATCCTCTGATGACGTCCCTGTGACGTCACGGAGCGGTCGGCGCGGCGCAGCGGCGGCGGCGGCGGTCCGCTCGCCAGTCGTCGGAGGGAGCCGCCCGGGTGTCCATGACGGAGGAGTGCTGGACCCGCCGAGGAGTGCCGGTGATGTGAGTGCCGTGCCGCCGTGTCGCCGCCGCTGAGCGGAGTCTGGTGCCGCCATGGTGCGTGTGGCGGTGGTGCCGCGCGTGACGCCGCTGGTGCTGGCGCTGGTGAGCGGTGCCGTGGCCAGCCGGCTGGTGACCACCCAGTACGGCCAGCTGCAGGGCTTCCTGCGCTCGTTCCAGCGCTATCAGGTGTCGGGAGCGCCCGCCCTCCTACCCGTGAACGTGTTCCTGGGCGTGCCGTACGCCCGGCCGCCGCTCGGCTCGAACCGGTTCTCTCCGACCCGGACCCTGGCGCCGTGGAAGGGGACCGGTGTGAGGAGCGCCACACAACTGGCGCCCGTGTGTCCTCAAAAACTGCCCGCCGAGGACAGGGAGGAGGCGCTGAGGAACATGCCGCGCGAGGCGTTCGAGAGGACACAGCGGCTCCGGGCGCAGCTGAAAAATCAGAGCGAGGATTGTCTCTACCTGAACGTCTACGCGCCTGCTCATCGTAAGTAAAAGATGGATGAGGGGTAGAAGAAAGGGGAGAGAGATGGAAAAAGAACGAGGTAGAGAGAGGGAGAGAGAGAGAGAAAGAGAGAGGGAGAGAGAGAAGAAAAGAAAGGGAGGGGAAAGAAAAGAGGGTAGAGAGAAGGAGAAGGAAGGAAAATAGAGATGCTGGGCGAAGGAGGATGGTGAAGTTAATTTGTCATGTCATGGAATTGGCTTCACCGGCTTATATACGGAATATGATGCTTTTGTACCGTAACGCTTCAAACTGCAGTTTCCCTGCCTTTTTAGTGATATTATTTGCAATGACTATTTATCAAAGGATATTCCAAAAGCTCTTTATTTTTTACAGAATGCAGAAGAACGCCACTAATCCAACTTTCCGCGGCTGAGGAGGTGTGGAGGTTGTGACATTTCTGTTTTTTTTTTTCGCGATTTCAAAGAATAGGTATGTCGGCTTCAGAGAGTAGCTGAGAGTCGGCCCACCTGACCTTTGATTAAAGCCTGATATGAATAATCGAAGTTACACAATTTTTTAGATCTTGTTAAAAACTATACTCGTATTGCCGAATAATGATATTTTGAAATTTTGATTTTTTTTATGGTGCTTTGAAGCTGATTAGATGAAGCTTAAAGCAACAATCACAGAAAGCAGACTCTCACGGGATCTGAATCGCGTTATTCATATTCATTTGTTCATGTATCTCAAAGCTGCTTGAAAACTTGACGCCTAAAAAGTGACAGATCTTTCATATCAAGCATAGCGCACCTGATGCAGTGCGATCACATATACTCAACAACCGATGCATCTCGGCGACCAAAATGAATTGAATGATATTTTAGACGCGTGCATATCATTTCAGAAATTATTTCCATTCCCAAATAGAATTTGTCGATGCTTGTACTTGAACTCGCCAAAGTTCGGGACAACGGCGCCGTTTAATTTTCCGTCTGACAGACTCCATTGATTAAGCAATCACCCGAATTTCGGGTGTCATAACACCAGTATAACGCCTTATGGGGCGACTAACGGAGCGAGCGAGAGGGTGGGCCTTGCACGTGCGAAATTTCGAGGGGGTACCTCCAACTGACTTGTGCACGGCACCCTAGTAACCGGTCTCTAGCGATGTGCCAAATTTGAGCACAATCGGCCCAGCCGTTCTCGAGATCTGGAAGCGGCACCCTGCACGTGCGCACGTGCAAAATGGGTTCCAACTGACTTGTGCACGGCACCCTACTAACTGGTCCCTAACCGTGTACCAAATTTGAGCGCCATCGGTCCAGCCGTTCTCGAGATCTGGAAACGACCCCTGCACGTGCGCACGTGCAGTAGCACCCCAACCTTAACACATGCAGATGAATTATCTGATGGAGACCTAACTGTGTACCGAGTTTCAATTCAATCGGCCCAACCGTTGTGCCGTTATTGAGGTTGCAATTTTGGGGGTTCTTAAAAAATGTCCAACTTTACCACGCGCCACGTGCGGTGGTTGGCAAGAACGCATGGTGGCCATCACACCACAGAACTTTTACGTCCAAGTGACATTCAGTAAAGAAGACCGCTTGTCAATCGGATGTCCCGTTCCTAAGATATTAGCTTTTGAAGAGCGTCCCCACGGCCGGCCGGCCGGCCGGCCGCTCATACTCAGAAATTTCCGTTAATCTAAGGAAAGACTCCGCTCGCTTCGCTCGCTCCGTAACTAGAATTCCTGCACCGACATACGCTCCAGTGCGGCGCTCTGAACCGGCACAACTGCTAACTCCGCGCTGTACAAAGCGGGAATCAGGGCCGGATTTTGGCGCAGGTCGTGCCTGAGCCATCCTCTCAACAAAGACATTTGTCGGTGGCTCAGCGGGTCAGTTACACGAGCACGGGCGCTCCATTCGGCGAGCGTCCCGGGACTGAGAGATTGCCCCTCGAATGGACTCTGCAGTTAGGGCCCCATAAAGCTGAGTGCCGTCATGAGCTCACCTTGGCCAGTTCGACAGGGGATGCTGTAGACAGGGCAGACAGTAAGGCAGACACCACAGATGTGCCGGCCCGGTACAGACGCGGCGAAATGGCTATTTGTCCACTGAGTAAGAATACCAGGTTACGTTTGGCAAAAACTGCGACTGCTTCTTGACATAGGAATGTTCTGATATGTTTATGTGTGAAATTCGATCGGACGAACATTAGCTTGTAAATCAGCATTTGGACACAACTTTTTGGACAACACTTGACTGCGCACATCATCATTGTGGCATCGATTTTTTTACTTTTACTAGCTGTATGGCTATCAATGCATTTGATCCAAGTTTCTTTTCGGTTGGTGGTCTCATCAACCTATAATTTCTTTCCGGACCACTGCCACGTCTTTTCCTTTTCTTCATATTTCTTAGGTCGACGAGGCCATTCGTCAACCTTTCAGAATAGGGATCACAGCCGTCCGCTCAATCCCAGTTTAAAACTTTAAGCTGCTCCGTTCGAAAATCATCGACTACCATTAAAGTTTCAGCCTTATACAAAAATCCGGCCGGAGACGCGGCGGCAGCCAGCCGAAATGACGGCCGGTCTCCTTTGATCCCTACATTGATGTGACTAATTAGATCTGACTCTTATGAAGCTCCGATACAGAGAAGAGGCTGATCACGGCTGGTGACAAAAAGGCGCTTTGGCACACGCACCATTGCGACTCGTGGCGTTCTGGAGTCGCACATTGTGGAGCCTTTTCTGCGGAAGGCCTCGCCTCCAGCCGCCAGCGTGTGTCGACGACGAAATTCTGCGGTTCGCCTTCGATCAAGGGCCCCATAAATTGAGAAGTGGAGCAAGATGAACGAGTCAACGGGCTGACTGAAGCCAGTTCAGCGACCGAAGCCGAACCAATGTGACCATTTCAGATATTTTCAGCGCTCTGATTTCACAAGAACTGGGAGCAGCTTTACGGATCCACGCATGAGAAGAATTCATGCCAGAAAATATCACCCAAACTTCGGTCGAAATTGAAAGTAAAACGGCGCTAAGGATAAAAACTATAGAAGCCGTGCAAAGAGGACGTAGGGCCAAAGAAGAGGAGAACGTCCGAGGAAGAAAGTTGAACAAAAGCTCATTAAAGTCGGGCGGTAAGTTGGCCGGCTGCGCGGGGAGGCTGGCAGCGATGAATGGTCGGCGCCGCCGTCTAAGCACGTCCTCCGGCGCCCTTAATCGGCCTCCGTAATCTCAAAATATGGCCTCATATCGGCCGACGGCCGTCACCATGGGATGGCCGCCCCGCCGGCCTGTCTGGCGTGTCTCTCCGTCGCCATGGGATGGCCGCCTCCCGCCGGCCTGTCTGGCGTGTCTCTCCGTGCCGTGTGCCGGAGTTCGGGCCGCGGGGCCTGTTTTCAGCGAGTGAGCGCGCTGTCACTGTCAGCGTTCAGCTGCACAGCCCTGCCGCAGTTTTTCTACTTTCCGTATGTCTGGTCTTCGTAATTGGATAAACTAAATGGAAGGCCGCTGGTGGAACGCTTCAGATGTGACATGTGTGGATGCCGGCACACTGGGAAATGAGATTATCTAAAACGTAAGTGCATTGCGGAATACATACCGCTCCGGGGCAGGTATTGAGGCCGCCGGCCATTAATCGCACAATGCGATGACAGCCCTGCCTTTAGCAGCCGTTCAAATGTGCTGCGATGTCATTATAGACTCGATTCCGTTGTATTCAATATTACAGATTGAGACAGATGTGATCCGCTTTGTCTGGCCGTTGCCAGGAACAGTTTAATTCGGAGGTAGTGAGAATCGGATGGACTAGCCGGGGATCGGTCTTACCACTAATTGAGACGGGACGATGCCACGGTCTACCCGACAACAGCGACATATTTAAACAGCTTACTGTGTGGTCGCTGATATTTAACGGTTTTCCGATAGAAATCAATGTTCTGCGCTCAGTTATATCAGTTAAAGGGACCCTCCCACCTTCAAAAAAGTTAATGAATTGGCATGAAAGTGATGTCGCTCGGTTCAGAAAGAGCAAAAACGAATATCTACCAAATTTCATCGAAAAATATTCACCGCTTTTCAAGATATTAGACTTTTACTTTTGTTTACTTTTTGAGATCTCCGCTGTTCCTAGCGACTTTATTTGAAAGTGCGGCATTTGTTGCGCGCAAAGCAGCATATACCACCGCGTGCTACCAAACGTTTTAGTAAAAGATTTAAAATCGTTAGATCTCCGCTGACGTCACAAATTCTAAGGGGGCATACCAATGCATTAGCCCCTTAGAATCCGAAAACTGCAAGTTTGAAATTCGATATCTCCGAATTAAAGCATTTTTCGATGTTGTGAGTGCCCAAACCGGTATTTTCAGGCCATGGCCACCAATTTGGCTATCTCAACTCAAATCTAATGTTAAGGTGGGAGGGTCCCTTTAATATCAGTTGATAAAATGTCACCATATATCTAACAACAAAGTGACGAGTATATTAGAACTCACTCATGCATCAATAAAAGATGAACCACGGACGAGAAGAACAAGACGGTTCGAACGCCTCGGAGTGGTAGTGCATCTTTAAGTTTCACTTTGAAACTCGCAATGATTGCGATAGCATTATTCCGATCATACCTGCTTATCGCTTATTGCGCCCAGTGTACCGTTTTGTAATGGCACCTATTGAATCTGTACTCGCTAAAAATGACAACATCGAGCATGCATTTCATAAACGAATCTCATTTCATTTATTTATTACTCTCATTTACTTACAGATGGAATCAGGCCAGGGTCCTGATCGAAATCCCCGCTGTTAATAAGTGAATGATTTTGCGTCCTCTAAGCTTCTTCGAATGTGATGAATGACTGCAGCTCTATGAAGACACCACCTGCAGTACCTACATAATATGTAACTCAATAACGTCTGTAAGTGCGTTACGTCTACCAATAACAAAATCACAAGAATATGCCACTTTGTAACCCATACTGCGTGAATCGAGCAGGTTGAGGCGAGGCATCTTTGATATGTGACCCTCGCAATCTTTGAGC